TTGGATCTAACCGAAGCACGCGATATATTATCTGCATCACGATCAGGCGCCTTGGACCTAACGGAAGTATGAGATATGTTATCTGCATTAGCTCTTGACTTGGCTGACACGCGCGATATATTATCCTCATCGTAGTTCTTGGCGCGTCTCACGGAAACACGTGATATAATATCTCCATCCCGATCAGCCGCCTTGGACCTCACCGAAGCACGCGATATATTATCTGCTTGATGTTCACTGGCTCGAGATCTCGTCGAAACACGAGAGATGTTGTCCGCCCTTGACCTGCCCGAGGCGAAGGAGTCACTCTCAGCTCTAAAGCTGCTTTGAACGGATCTGTCGTCCTGATGCTGGCCCCCGGCACCCGATCGATGGTATCCTTGAGAGGCATTGTCTGCCCCGTTGCTTCGCCTCGATGTATTAAAATTGGGCTTGGCCGTCAGTGTGATGTTCGATTCGGTGCGTTTGCGGTCGTGCGAGGACACGCTCTCATTATCCTCATGCTGGCCAGGCCGCGACTTGGCTCTACTCTTCCTCGATGGGGCTACTGATGGCTCGACAGCGAGCACGGACACGCTGCTGACTCGCGAGGCCGCATCGCCTTTGCGGACGGGCATTATAACGGTCATCGAGTTGCCGCCACGCCCCTTCTCTGACAGGTCCGGCCTGGACTGGCGGCCGGCGTTAATGCGTCCGTCGTCAGTAGCGAAATGTTTGGCCGCCGCCATCTCCTCATTGATGGCCTTCGATATGGAGACTTCGCCCCTCTGCGATTTGGCTGCCTTAACATCGCCTGGCCTAACGAGCGAGTCCTGCGAGACAGATCTGTTGGTATGCTGCTTCGGTGGCGGCCAGGTCGCATACACTGGCTCCGGATATGTGGTGCTCCTGGGCATCTTATACTCATAGCGCTGGCCCTGGCTCTCGGGCGGCCCCACGCTGAACGGATTGAAGAGTATGCCCTCGTCATCCACAAACATCTTGGCTACGTGCTTAATAAACTGCTCTAGATTTGTTAAGTGTTTTCGCTTTTGTTTGATACAGGCTTACCTACAGTCTAGTTTTTCAAATATTTTGTTGAGAAGGCTTGTGCGGATCTCCTTCTATGTGTTTCGAATACCAAAAATGATCAATTCCGTATTATCTATGCTTTAGCGCATTTTATTTTTCTGAGGCAAGACAAAATGTCTACACAATTGTAAATTTTTCATGGAACTAAATGAAAGGAGTTTCAAATCAATTCGAATAAAACATGTTCTAGATATACGGAACTGTTTCAGTAGTCTGAGCTGCATACTTCAAATGTTGGCAATGCTTGTATAGGGAATATACCCTGTAAAATATTCATATAATTCTGTGCATTGTTTCACGGCTGCTGCTCTGGCTATTCTGATTTCTTGTCGTGTATTACACTTCAAAAAATGCCATTCAATTATTTGTATAATAATTATTAAAGAAAATTTATAGAGCAGGAGTTGTGACTGACATAAATTTTTATTTTATTTTTATTTATTTTTTTGCGAATCGTAGAGATGAGAATGCAAGACAGTATAAAAAATCCTTTTTTATTTTAAAGCCTCTGCAAATTAGAGAAATACATAATCAATCTGAATCCCTAATGGCATTTAAAAAAATATATATAAATAAAATTAAAAAAAAAAAAAGAAANACATCTTGGCTACGTGCTTAATAAACTGCTCTAGATTTGTTAAGTGTTTTCGCTTTTGTTTGATACAGGCTTACCTACAGTCTAGTTTTTCAAATATTTTGTTGAGAAGGCTTGTGCGGATCTCCTTCTATGTGTTTCGAATACCAAAAATGATCAATTCCGTATTATCTATGCTTTAGCGCATTTTATTTTTCTGAGGCAAGACAAAATGTCTACACAATTGTAAATTTTTCATGGAACTAAATGAAAGGAGTTTCAAATCAATTCGAATAAAACATGTTCTAGATATACGGAACTGTTTCAGTAGTCTGAGCTGCATACTTCAAATGTTGGCAATGCTTGTATAGGGAATATACCCTGTAAAATATTCATATAATTCTGTGCATTGTTTCACGGCTGCTGCTCTGGCTATTCTGATTTCTTGTCGTGTATTACACTTCAAAAAATGCCATTCAATTATTTGTATAATAATTATTAAAGAAAATTTATAGAGCAGGAGTTGTGACTGACATAAATTTTTATTTTATTTTTATTTATTTTTTTGCGAATCGTAGAGATGAGAATGCAAGACAGTATAAAAAATCCTTTTTTATTTTAAAGCCTCTGCAAATTAGAGAAATACATAATCAATCTGAATCCCTAATGGCATTTAAAAAAATATATATAAATAAAATTAAAAAAAAAAAAAGAAATATATAAATAAAAATAAATAGAAATACAAACAAAATAAAAAACATCTTATCAAAATTAATTTCCAAAAACAACTTATCAAGCTCTCTGCCCCTCAAGGTAATTAGTCAAGGTCTCGACTATACTTGCTAATAATAATTATCAAACCAATAAACCGATGGTCCATGTCTAATTTTCAACTGGCTAGGAAATGTCTGAGTCTACAACTTCCACAAATTCACAATAAATAGAACAGTACACGACGTTGTCTATTATTAGTTTATTGTGGTTAAAATCTGGAGTAAATCATTCAGCGTTTGCTCTTTGGCACTTTGGAATGCAGAATTTGTGTATGTATATGTGTATAGCATATATCCTATTAAAAACTTGCAGACACACGACTCGGTGCTTGTTGTTGTGTTCAGTCGTAATTCGCTTTCAGGCGCTTGGTCAGCTCAGCCGCCTTGTCGAAGAGAGTCTTTGATATCCTTAAGGTTTCCCTCAGATCCCTTCGCAGCGACTCGGCCACTTTCTTCAGCGATGGCGTTACCCTGTTGAGTGTGTGCGATGTCCTCGACTCGCGGGACTCCTTAACCTTTAGCGTTGATCGAGATCGGCCATTAGATGTCAGCTCAGGCTGGAAACTCGATCGGCTCTCCTGAGACCGCTGCGAAGCACTCACATAGCTCGCATGGCCTCCGGCATGCTCACGCCTACTGGTGCGTGAGGACGAATGCTTGGGCTCACTTCTGGGCTGGTCGATCGATCGGGTGTTCGATCGGACCGATGCACGTGAACTCTTCGGCTTGCCTCCTATGTGATAGTGTGATCCCTCAGGTATTTGCCTTTTGGAAGCGCTCATCTCCTTGTTGATCGCCTGGGAAACCGCGACTTTGCCCAGCTTCGATTCGGTTTTGTGGAGAACGTCGGCGCTCGACTTGGTCATGGTGGCCTGCGATACCGATCTGTTGGTGTGCTCCTTCGGCTTCGGCCAGGTGGCGTGCACAGGTGGCGGAAAGGATGGGGTGTCGGGGGCCGTGTAGTTATACGACGCTTTGGTGTCGATTGGACCAATATTGAAGGGATCGAATGGTTCATAGTCCTCGTCCATTAGAAACATTTTGGCTAGCTTCAAAATAATTTCCTTTTGCTTTGGATAAAATTCTACGAAATTAATCGACTTTCGCACATTTACAATGAATCCAGGACAAAATGCTGGAGGCACAAGCCCGTTTTCTGCGTGTTGTCTAGCCAAAATTTAATTTATTTCGTGTTTATATTTTAGTGCATTTTTATCGACCCGGATTTCGATAAACTCGTTTACACTACTATTCCACTGAAAATTTAAAATAAACTGAATAGAAAGTCGAAAATGAGAGACCACTATGAAAGTGGAAACGACAAATCTCTCATGGCATGCTGAGCAGAATTATCGAAGGAATTATACTCGATATAAGGCAGATTTTTTACTGCCATCAAATAACAAAAGAAATACCTCTCCGTCTATCAAAACAAAGTTAAATAAATATTATTTCAATTTAAGTTTTTCTATTATTTAGAATTTTTATTTTTATTGGCAAGTCAAGGATATAGACTTGCACAAGATTTTCATAGATATATCATATATGGGTACAGCTCAGATCAGTCAGTTAGGCATTCGTCAGAGTAGAGTGCCTCATTGAGACTATGTAATGTTGCTGTAGGCCTCGAGGCGATTGCATAGCTTCGTCGCCTTCAGGATTAGCGACTCAGCTGTCTTTATGGACTGAGCCAGCTCCTTCCTGATAGAAGCAAGGACAACCTTTAGCACGGGTTGGGCGTTGCCACTGTCTGATGCGGCGCCTTTCACATAGAGATTCATTTGAGCAGGAAACTGGCGGATAATTTTGCGCGCCTTGCGATGATTCCTTATGGAGACTTGGCTTCTAGTGGCCGACCTTAAAATGTGGCACGAGACGACCGACTCTGCCGTCCTTATCGACTCCTCTAGCTGCTTCCTAATCGAAACGACGACTGCTTTCAGCATATCCGATCGTCTCGGAGCTCTGCGCGAGCGTCGATGGGTTCCTAGAGAGCCTGAGTGACCTGAAGGCTTAACCTCTAAGTTCGATTCACTCTGCTCGAGGACAGGGGAATTGGTTTCCGCATGAATGTCTGTTGCAGACCCTATTGTGTGATAGGAGGACTCCTCCTTCAACGTCGATTCTATGAGCTCGAGATCAGGGGAGTTCGGGTGATCTCTTGTAGTCCTTGATGCGTGGCCCGAAGGCTTTTCCTCTACATTCGATTCTGGGTGCTCGAGCTGAGGAGCATTCACTTCATGATGATGAACCCCCTGGCTTTTTGCCGTGGACACTGATGGGTGACCTGAAGTCTCCTCATTCGAGCTCATTTTCGATTGCCGGCCGCCCTCTGCAGCTTGACTCGACTTCAATTCGACTAACTTCGCATAGAGGTCATTATGCTGATCCCTCAAAATCTCCCTAGTTCTCAACGATGTGGCCGAAGCCCTGGGCGCACCTAGCCTGCCGCTTGCCGATGCCCGTCGCCTGAGCATCGTACTCCTTTTGCGTGAACTCATTTCCGAGGTAGCACGAATATTAAACGAATTGAAGAGTACCTTGTTATCAATCATATTAACTTTATTAAAACTCGAAGTTAGTCTATGGCAAATACTAGCACGTTGTGCACTCACAGCTTAATCCAGGGAAACAGTTACACTCACGATTTATCTCCGAAAAGTATTGCCAAAATAATATCTAAACAACTAAATTTTGATTGAATTTCATAGCCCTGGATTTTTACTGTGTTCAGTGCCAAAGTCAAAAACGAACTGAATTCAATTGCCCTCAAAATGTTCCATTCCAAAGTTGAGCTGTGAGTATTAACGTCTTTTACATGGAATGCTATGTCATGAAACAGCTTCACTTATTGGTATAATATGAATACGGAATGATAATGGCTGCCAGTGTAAGCTCTTTGGCATTAGGCAAGACAAAAATACAATTTAATTCATTAGACTAAACGGCTTCTGCTTTCGTCAGCCGACTCCTCCTTGGGTCTATTTTAATTAAAGAAGCCAAAACACCGACATTTGAGCCGCACATATTGTAATCAATGTTGTCAAGTCTTCGAATGTACGTGCTGATAAGGCAGTTGCCAGACAAAAGGCAGCCACTGTCTCTGGCTGGCAGGAGCCTCTTGACAATTTGCTTGCTGGATGCGACAAATTAATGAGTGCATGTGCGAATGTATGTGTGTGTGTGTGTGTGTAACTCTTTTGTTGTTTCATCTCTGTCAAGTATTTGTCAAGTTTCTATATACATGTATATGTATATGTAATAGGCATTGCCATTAACTTCGTCACATTGTTTTGAAAGATATTCAGAGCAAGCGAATGCCAGTTGAAAAATATTCACTAAGCTATTGCCACATGCAGGCTTTTATTTTATTTAGATGCTAAATCAGTTGGTGTAATTATAAATTCGGCATTAACTTCGAAAACTTGAAATAATGGCTAAATACCAGAGACCTAATCCAACGAATTCATTTCAGCAGGCATCGGGCGACTGCATTGGCACCGGTATCTACGGCAATGGACTGGTCTTTGATAACCAAAGATATCCTTTCCAGGTGGATAGGATGTCAATGCAACCGCCAACAGTTAGCGTCTCACAGTACAAGTCCCAGCCGGACTTGCCCCGGCACACCATCTCCAGGGCAGCAATACGGCGAGAACGGCGGATGCCACAGCCTCGAACAGCTCAGGCGCCACAAGCCATGTCCCGCTTCCCGTCCCAGTCCCAGTCCCCGTATGTGCACCAGAAACGGCAGCAGCAGCAGCAGACGCCAATGCGACAGGAGCAGCAGCAGCAGCGGCAGCACCA